TTAAAAGATTGGGTATTTATGCATTTCAAAGGATTTTTGTTATATATGGGCATTTACTCGTTTCAAGGGTTAATTTCTCAAATGGTCATTTTTGCATTTCAAGGGTTATATGATAAATGTCATCAAGTTGCTCATAAGTTGTATTTATTATGTTTGTAATAATTGTCTTATTTATCCACCCTTTAACCTAGCCTCTTGTGATCTTAGTGTATTTATTAGGTTTTTTATCGTATGTTCTTATTCCCCTCCCTTTAACCTAACCTTTCAGATGTAATTTGTTTATTGTGTTGTATGTATATGTTGATTATATGATCCTTTTCCTAACCTTTCAGATGTAGTTTTGTTTCTCCTTTTTGTATATTTTCCCCAAACCCACCATCCCACTTAACCTACCTTCCTTCTTTTACTTTGTTTTTCCTACGCCTTCTCTCCTCCCCCCCCCCTTTTTCTCTATCTTCATCCTTGTAACTCCCTTTCCTCTCCCTCTCCCGTATTCTCTCTTCCTCCCCCTCTCTCATTTGCTGCAATGCTCTTATTTTTCTCAAATTCGAGTCTTAATGCTCCCATGCTCTCACTCTCATTCTCCCTCCTCTTTTCTCTTACTCCATGCTCTCACTCCCTCGCTCTCTTGTTTTTCTCAATTTCAAGTCTTAGTAGATCTGATTCTTTACTAAAGACTAAGTCGGGGAGATAAGGGTGTTTAAGATGAGAAGGTAAGGGAGGGAAATGGTAAGGTGAGATTTTGACCGTGTGATTATTGCTTACTTGGGTAAACAAAAGGTATTGAAGGTAAGGTGTTATATGACTGTGAATATTACATAGCCGAGTACAAAAAGGGTATTAAAGGCCATGATGTTTACTTTGATAGACTGGAGAGGGACTTTATCTGAATCAATTTTGATGAACATTGAACTAAGGTGGAGGACATGAGCTGAATGTTGGTTAATGACTATTTTACCACATTAGACATAGTGATCTTAAATTTCAGGGGAATTGCTCTGATAATAAAGAACAAGTACAAATAAGCTAAGGCAGTTGACGTGTGCTAGAGTTTGGCAAGTGTTCGGAACTATTTTACTATGTCTGAAAATGCGGCAGTTACAAATTTCTAGGAAAATTAGTCTGTTACTAAAGAACTTGTACAAATGAACTAAGGTAGGGGGGGGGGGGCACATGAGCTAGAGCTCGGTAATTGACGATCTTATTTACTGTGTCTGAAATACAGCGGGTTTAAATTTCAGGGAAATTGATTTGTGACGGGGTTAAACTAAGGATTTGTTAAAGAAATTACGGGGATAAACTAAGGCTGAGGACAAGAGCTGGAGCTTGCTTACTGACTTCATATATTTTACTGCGTCTGAAATATGACTTTAAAATTTCAGGGAAATTCATAGGTTAATATTGAAACTACACTTATAAATGCGGACTAACAAATTTTGGTCTGGAAATGGTCTCTGATGAAAATTGGTCTCTGAATATTTCTGGGGGCTTCAAACTGTACTGTTAATTTTTTGCTCTTTATTGGACTGACAATATTTTAATTTCCTCCATAAAAACTTTAAGAATGCAGGATTACGTAAAACTGAAATATTTTGGTTTCAAAGCGGTATGACAAATTTTTGGTATAAAATGGACTCTGATGATAATTGGTTTGAAAATGGACTGACGAATTTTGCTCACAAAGTGGACTGACTAATTTTCGTAAATTACAGGACTGAATATTTTAGGGGACAAACTGGACTCTGAAGAATTTCTGTCTATAACTGGACTCCAGTGACTTTTCGGAATGAGCTAGTCTCTGCCTAATTTCTGTAGATTACAGGACTGAATATTTTTTGGCACAAGCTGCACTCTGAAGAATTTTGCTCGCAAAGTGGACTCTGGAGAATTTAGGTTATCAAGAGGACTCAATTTTCAGGGTAAAACTCGACTGATTATTTTCAGGCATAAACTGCACTCTGATGAATTAAAGTCATGACTAAGATGCCTGTTTTCCTTAACAAAACGTCTAAGACAATATTCTCAGAAAATGGTCTTTACAAAATTTGGTCATAAACGTATAAATAAACTTAAGATTATTTGAAACAAATATTTTCTTAAAACTGAACTCTGAAAATCTGAGTTTTCCCCATAAGAACTGTTAACAAACTTCTATGAAATTATTTTCCTCATAAGAACTCTTAAACTTTAAAATCTCAGAAATTATTTTCCTCATAAGAATTCCTTAATTCCAAATTGGTGACTGGACAAATTTACATGGAACACCTGACGCTCTAATGGTGATTTTTCCTGAAAAACGAAAATCACTACGGAGGCTATTTTCCGGGGCCAAAACAAAAAAATCACCACTGGAGCGTCATCCCTACTACTATGGACTACTGGGGAAGAGTCCGAATGGAGCCGGAGCGTCGATCCGCGGACGACCCGAACCCTCCAAAGCGCAAACCACACTGCCGCCAACTCCCGCACTGTGCTGTGGGCCCGACGGAAGGACGGACCCCACCGCCCCTGGCCGGCCTGGTGAGCACTGGTCATAAAGCCCCAGCCAAGAGACGACGCGTCCCTGAACACTTCGAGCGAGGGTTCAGGTAGGCGCCAAGGCACTGAACCCCCCCAAAATACGAAGAAGCCGGCGACGCAGCAGCAGAGACAAGGCCCCCGAGGGCCAAACCAGTGATTGCGCGAGAGGCGGAAGGGACGTCCCGAATGAACCAGAACAGCCGACCAAGACAAACCCAATTTGGCGGGTAGCCCATCACCAGGGTTGGGATGGTGAGTCGGCGCCAAGCACTTCAAATTAGAGGGGGAGGGGGTTGGTGCCGAACACCCCGACTAAAAGGGAGGTAAAAGATGCAGTTGTCACAGTGAGAAGTAGCCACTCCAGGTGATGAGGTGGTCACCACTGGGAGCTTGGGGTTCAACCCTACCACAGAGGGGAGTGGAGGGAGTAGTCGGGAGGGTCAAAGGAGTAACTTTGTCTGGGCTCAATATAGTGAGGGCTACAGACACTGGTCTTCCAACACAGTCCGACTCGTGGAAGGAGGGAGGGGTGGGCCTGGTCGCCCACCCCACAAGCCTGGGAAGTTATGAGGATCATTCCACAGCACAAGAAACGAGTAGGTAATAATTACATTCACAAATAAGCCCCCATACCCTCCATAGAGCCACAATTAGAGGATAGGACCCCAAACAAGACAGCCCCACCACCCTCCCCAAGTGGTGCATCGTGATTATACGCCCTGCAATCGCCATCTTAAGAACTATCAGTCCGTCGAGATCGGGTTCAGTAACGAAGGCAAGGATTTGGAATAAAAGCGTCCCCTCGCTCGCAATGTTTTACCACAGTTCTTTGGGCGAGTGCCTCCCCAAACACCCGGGCGTAAAAAGATATGTCCGAAAGAATAATCAAGAATGTCAAAAGGTAGCCGGGAAAGAATTAGAAAAGAGGGGGGGTTATCTTGAGATGATTTCGGGGTTTTAGTGTCCCCACGGCCCGGTCCTCTACCAGGCCTCCACCCCTAGGAAGCAGCCTGTGACAGCTGACTAACACCCAGGTACCTATTTTACTGCTAGGCAACAGGGGCATAGGGTGAAAGAAACTCTGCTCATTGTTTATCGCCGGTGCCCGGGATCGAACCCGGGACCACATGATCACAAGTCCAGCGTGTTGTCCGCTCGGCCGACCGGTTCCGGGAGGAGGAATGAAAAATGAAACAATGAAGAGGAAACAGCAACCAGCACAATTAGTGAAGACAGCAGGAGCACAAGGCTTCAACAGGAGAACAGGACCTCCCATGGAACATCACACCCCTGCAGCGACCCACCAAGCCCCCTCATGACGACAACAGACTGTAGAGGGTAGGGGGCACCACACTAGTAAAATACCTATTTGATATTCCAAGAGTGCGACTTAACCAAACTAGAAATGCTCTGCAATTCTTGGGACCCAGAATGTGGAATGACTTTCCTAATCATGTCATTGTACTCTTCTCAACCAGTTTAAGAAAAATTTTAAGTACTACCTAATAAACTCCATGTAACCTACCTTACGTCCTAAATGTTACTGTTTTGCTATTTTCTAACAACATTGATTATTGACTAACTTCCGATATCCGCCATGCATAAATTGAAAATTGTAGTCTATTTATAGTTAAAATGACTTCTGCTGTTCTGTTTCAATTTCTGTCCTTCCCTACATTATATAATTTTTTTTTTTTTGTTAATTCAATTTATGCTTTGATCAATTAGTTCTAAGTTTCGGTCCATTTCCCACGTTGGCCGAAACTGTTCGTAATAGTGGCTTTAGGCATAGTATGTACTAGCTCTAAAAATTCCACAATGTAATGCATCTTTCATGTATGCACTTTTACCCAAATAATGATTTATTATATACCTTGTTCATAAATTATGTATTTAACAGATTAAAAAACATTGAAGTTTGAAAAGGTACCTACATTTCCCATCCAGCCTGGGCCCACCACCAGTTTTCCTCTGCTCTGGGAGGAGCCAAAGGATACCACTTACCAGGCATACAAAGGCGCCAAATGCTTGTCGATGCAGTTATGGACATTGTCCCGAGTAGTGCTCCCCTTTTAAAAAGTCCTACGGTATTGTACATTCTCTCCCGCCGGTGCAAAGTATTCTCCGTCTTGCACGATCCCAGAGACTACCATACCTTTGAAAATAGCTCCCTCACAAAAAATCCCGCCATTTGGTGGTCCGGTGATCCAAACTGACAACCTACGTTGGTCTCCTTTGCAAGTACAACACCCAAAGCAGGCATGAGGTAGGAGGCCGAGCCAACCCCAGCGGGCTACTTACCACGGCAAGGAGACTTCTTTGTGGGGGGGATTGACTATTAAACTTGCACCTTTATATAGCAAATAATCATTCAGGACTTGCAAATGCAAGTCTACCACTAGACTTGCATTTGCTAATTGCCTATGAAATAAACAGACTTTTTAAAGGTTATTAAGAAGAAAAATTTATGATCTCTATTTATACATGAATGGTGTACAATTGTGCTAACATTCTCAAAAGCATTAAAGATAATTCAGATTCATTTTGGCAATTACTTCCATCTTGAGAGCAGCAGTGAAGGCGTCTAAAGCCGCAACAACATGCGACTCGAGGCCACTCCCTACTTCACGCCGCTGCCTCACTGATCTCTCACCAAAGGCATTGTCGAAGAACTTTATGACCGGTTTTCTAGTGGGGTCAAACAACGACACGAAGAGCAGCACTCCACCGAGTAGAAAGCCAGCCACACTAAAACATTCATCAGGGGGATAAGCAACTTAACACATCAGTAAAGCTGCATTGCTTAAACTGTTCAAAGTATTTAAACTTACAATAGTAATACCGACTCAGTGTATCAAAATTGTGGATGATAGTCACTTTGAACTTTGTTTTATAAGATTAATTTGTGCATGGCAGTAGTTTAAGGCACTGAGTACACAGTAGAAACAAATTTAGCCTGGCAGAAGGGAGGGGGATTGATTGTAAAACAGCCAAATGAACTTTTTTTTTGGCGTTGTCTAGAATCCAGATCACACTAATCTCTGCGTTATACATAGGATGTATGATTTTTAAGTTAAATTAATACTTGCCTCTTGGCAAAGCTTGCACGTTTAGGCATACGGGGAAGATTATTTCTATGGTTACAGTCCTATCTTACGAACAGGACCTCTAAAGTCTATATACAAGGCGAGTTTTCCGATGGCATTCCAATACAAACGGGTGTCCCCCAAGGCTCCATACTAAGGCCAACCTTTTTTCCTGCATTTTTAGCAGATTTGACTAACACCTAACCTGTTCACCTCTCGGCGTACGCCAATGACTTAACATTGTATTATTCAGACACTGCCTTACCTAATAGTCTCAACAATGCAAACAGCACTTTACCACCTCACAGATTGGACAACAATGGGGCCTTCAAGTTAGTACTACCAAAACCTATTATCAGATTAAAAAAAAAAAAAAAAAAAAAAACCACTTTGTATATCCACCCTCACCATACACAACACTCCCATTCAACACGAACGAGAAAAAATATCTTGACATGCACTTACTCTCCCTTAATTACCTGGAAAGCACGCATTCAACATCTTAAACAGACAACAACCCCGACTTGCCATACTTAAAGCCATCACTGGCACCATCTGGTGAGCACACTATAAAATCTTGCTCCGATTCTATACAACCTACATATGCCTGGCAACAATAGTCTAGTTGGGGGTAAATGCGTCAGCTGCGCTTACTAACTTACAGAGCCTCGAGGTAATAAAATACCATGCGACTTACATGTGGCACAATGCGTTTCACTCCTATCCTTTGACTACGGGGAAACGGGCCTCACAAGCTTAATCACCAAACGAGACTGTGCCAACTGTCATTTTGTACCAATGCTTACCAGATACACCCATACAGATCAAAAATTTACCCAACAGTCAACCCACATAACTTCCGCTTCCCAACCAATCACTCACAACCTTTCCTCACATGGGCTACATTTAACATCAATATAGACCTCTCTCTACTCCAAAACTCTGAAATCCAACTTCCTGTCCCACCTATTCCACCTTTGCTTTATACAACTAATACATTAAAACAACTCTTAAAGACAACATTCCAAAGTCTGAACCAAACTCAGCCATAGCCTCAGTCTTTGTCTCGACAATGAAGAGTTGCTATCCAAATACCACAGCAATTTATACAGATGGATCTCGCATCATGAACAACGTACTCTTTGTCTCTAGCGCTGTATGGATACTGGAATACCATCTCAAGCAGGGATGGCGGTTACCAATCCAACTATTTTCACAGCTGAATTATATGCCTTATATCAAGCTCCAAATAATCTCAACATACCAGTTGGGATAGTGACTCCACGAGCGCGATTCAATTACGTACCTTTCAAAAACGTGCAAGGAGTTTGTCTACCCATGCCAATAACTTCTCCATGAACCCCAAATGAACGGTTATGACACCCCCTAACCAATGGGTCCTAACACTTATTCTCCATAATGAACTTTTAGATCGACTAGCCAAAGCGATGCACAACACGCCTCACATTACTCATCCAATTCCCCATGTTGCACGTTAAGGAGCCTTCAAAAATACCATCACCCAAGATTTTGCAACGAAATAGAAAACGCCGTGCTCACCTTTGTACTATGGATCAATTAAAAAGAAAAGGGAAACTTGGAAACATGTCAGATATAAAAGCAGAGAAATTAATGTAACGATGACCAGATTAAGGCTGGGACACACCAAACTGGTAGCACACATCTCTAAGTACAGAACAGATATCAACGAACTCTGCATCCACTGTCATGTGCTTGAAGCAATCTAACACCATCTCCTTCACTGCTTCCGACATCATAGTGCCAGAGTAAAGTGCCAGAGATAGACAAAACAGTATCACACTTAAAATACCCTTTACCATCGAGCATATATTAGGTGGTGACCATGTGTTACAGGAAAATTACCAAAGTCAAAGCACTGGCTAAATATCTCCAGTCGACCAACAAATTGGGTCACATCTGACCCGCGCCACATTTATATCTGGTGCCACCAACAGTTAAACACTGAAAACAAATGCCTCGTCGCAACACCATGGATCAGCTGACGCCGTAGACAACATACCGCCTTATGGTGCGAAAAGTCTAACATGCACCTCTGTTTTAGTCACCGTTCCTCTTATCTACAACACAAAACAGGCACTTTTGAAACTTCTCATCCTCAATATAATGGCGTCCACCAACATCTGTACTGGTGCAATCATTGAGAGGGCGAAGCCTTCATGCAAACTGCACCTACTGTTAAGAATAATATTTTGTACAGAGTTTCGAATAGTTTATGGCATTTCGGCCAAACCTAAAGATAAATATTTTACGAACTTGTTGACCAGACCACACACTAGAAGGTAAAGGGACGACGACGACTCTGTCCGTCCTGGACCATTCTCCCCACAATCGACTTGAGAATGGTCCAGAACGGACCGCAACGTCGTCGTCCCTTCACCTTCTAGGGTGTGATCTGGTCAACATACTTTAGCCATGTTATTGTGACTCATCGCCTGCATTTAGTAACTTATCAACCAATCTTCAAACGTAACTAGAAATTTAAAGATATGCACTCTTGATAATACTGAATCTACTCGAGAATGGTCCAAGATGGACCGAAACAACGTAGTCCCTTAACTTTCTAGTGTGGGGTCTGGTCAACATTTCAGCCACGTTATTGTGACTCATCATCTGCATTACCTTGGGGTACACCTTCGTATTGCCGGAAGGAGGCAGAGTGTGGAGCACCAAGCCTGACTTGAAAGGAACGACTAGAGAGGAAGCTTTGGAGGAAGAGAGGGATATTTCCTCGATAGTCAAAAGAACGAAGCTGGGACAATATGTTATCTCCAGATTATGTCATAAGCCTTTTCCAGATCAAATAGGACAGCAACAATAGAGGTCTTCACAGTAAAAGCAGAACGAATGTAGACCTCGAGGTTCTCCACTCACCGTAGCACATCACTTGTGCTATGGCACTTGCGAAAACCAAATTGAGGAGAGGTGTGGTGAGGTGTTCCAAAAACCACATCAGACGAACATTTACCATACGCTCAAAGAGTTTGCAGACAACTCGTGAGGGTAATAGAACGGAAGTCCATATGGGATGTCCTGAGAGACCCCGGTTTCCGAATAGGAAGCATGATGGCATCGAGCCAGTCCTCAGGGACTGACAACGACTCCCAGACCTGGTTATACAGACTCGGTAAATATTAAGATGTACAAGGAGGGAGATGGTGAAGCATCTCAATGAATGTCATCCAAGCCCGCTGCCATAGAACCGCAGAGGGCCAGAGGAGACTGAAGTTCAAAGAGAAGGGATCGTTATAAGGAAGGTGGAGATGAGTGCGGAAATCTAAGGGATAAGATTCAAGAATAGGCTTACGAAGAAGGAAGGATTAAGGAAGATGAGAACCAGAGCCGACGTCGGTGTTTCTTCAAGGCTGTACGCTTACAGCGGACAGGCCGAGCAAAGTCCGCATTCCACCAGGGAACCCACTTCTGCGTGCCCCGGGAGGTAGAGCGAGGAATAGAGCGGAGGGTAACATTGACTCATGAAAATGAGGAAGGCGCGAGGAAGAGGCAAAGAGGAGAAGTCAGAGAAAGTGGCACCGAGGGTGAAAAGGTTCCTGTCAGCTTTGACAAACTGCCACCAAGGGAAGAAGAGGGGAGGGTGAAAAGAGAAAAAGGAAACAACGATGGGAAAATGGTCACTATTATGGAAGGCAAAGACCCTGCCACGTGAGATATAAGTAAAGGGACGACGAGCAGAGAGAATGATCAAGAGGGTGCAAGTTCGAGGGTGCAAGTTCGAGGGTCCACATGGGTGGGCTCATTGGAATTCAGAAGAGACAGAAGAAAAGAAGACGAACGGTTCAAGGCGGCGGCCCCGGGTGTTTGTCAGACGATCACCCCAGAGGCTATGTCGACAGTTGAAATCACCAAACAGGAGCACCGGCTCTTGCAAGGAGCTTTAGATCAGTAAGGGAAAGCGGGACTTTGGGGGTAGATAAATGGAACAAACTTTATACCATTTACTCTCAAAAAACACTGGCAGCAGAAAAATGGATAGGCGATAGACACAGTAGGGGGACAAAGGGTACATCAGTACAAATTAAGAATAACACAGTTATGGGCCCCAGCAAGAGCTGAGGAAGAGGGGGGGGGGGAGGGATAAAGGAATAACCACGAATGCGACAAGGACGAGCACCAAACATCGGCTCCTGGAGACACACAAAGTGGTGAAAACTGTAATCAGAAGTTGTAGTTCAAGTATGTTTGCATAAAATGCAAGAATATTCCATTGAATACATATCAAAAAGAGAAGACAGTAACAGAGAACAATGAAGAAACAAAGGTAAAGAAGAATATATTAAATAAGCTCAGGATCAATGTCTGCGAAAATCAGGGTTAGGGGGGGGCATGGGTAAGCTTAGTAAGGATGGAGGGAATGGAGCGGGAGGACAGACCAGAGACAGACATACGGGGGTCCAGAGGAGGGGGAGACAACTAAGAGGGGCTGTCAAGGACAGGAGGAAAAGGGGGGGGGCAGAATCCGGGGAGCGCACCTCATCAAGGGCAGCAACCGAATGCCTACTTAACCGCTGGGGAGGAGGAAGGCGAGGAACCAGGTTTACGTTTCTGACTCAAAGAGATGTGTTCCAGCAACAAAGTACTAGACGACAGACTGATCTCAGCAGGAGAAGAAGAACGGGAGTCAACAACTTGATTGCTGGGGAGGAGGATGAACATCAACTTTGACAGACAGGCGGCGCGTGGAGATCCGGGAAGAAGGACCAGGGGGAGAAGGAAAAAAAAAGACAGGAGACATGGCAGACATGGTAGGAAGGAGGAGAAATCTCCAGACGGAGAAACAGGAGGAAGACCTTCCATGACAGAACGTAAAGGAACAGGGGAGGAGGTGGTGGGCATGTCTGGGTCCAAGGCCTGGAAACAGTTGGGGAACTGAGGAAGTGCGAAGGACTAGGAGAGGTAGAACGCAACACCTGAGCATAAGATATGCCAGTGAAAGGATGGAGACTTCGCGTCTCACTTCATGAAAAGTCAGAAGATCCCGGTGATTCAAGTCAAGGACTGCTTCCTCAAGCTTTTAGTAGATACACGTGCGGAAGATGGTCGGGTGGGTCTCACCGCAATTGATGCAGAGAGCCTGAGAAGATGATCAATCTTTATAGTGGGTATCGTCCCCAAACACGGGGCATAGAGAAACAAGACTTTTGCATCTGAGGGCGCCGTGCCCGAACTTCCAGCACTTATTACAAAGTCTAGGAGAGGGGATGTACTCCTGAACAGAACACTTGGCACCAGCAAGAATGATAGAGGGCGGAAGGGACCTACTGTCGAAGGCAATTTTCACAACACGAAGGGGCTGACGGCGGCGACCACGAGGGGGTTGAGTGAACGTGTCCCCTTGGAGGACAGGATGACCTTTGTCTTCGAGGCTATGCTTAATATCCTATTGGCAGTCTTAAGACCCTAACACCAGTTGCAACATAGTGGGAGGAGAACAGTGCCAACACTTGCATTTAACCGAGAGTTTTTGTTGACCCGAACAGGGATCTCCCCAATGCAGGACAATACGGCTAAGAGTAGCTGCATCTGGTGAAGGAGCAGCGACGACATGTACCTAAACCGGTTGGGTTAAAAGTAACAGGCATGCACCGAATCAAGGTGTTTATGGAGTGAGAAATCGTCAGGTGGATTATAATCCAGAGGGAGGAGATCAAAGTGTTTAGCCCACGAAGCAGGACAAAAGGCTTGGTACGTATTAGTATGGGAAGGGATCGTGCGAGTGCGGCCCTGGCGTTGAGAAACCCCCCCAGAGAGAGTTATTAAAAGGTTCAGTAGTCACACACACAGCCACACCAGGAGACAAGGTGGTGACTGCTAGGGGCGTATGGCTCGACCCAACCACAGAGGAGGCAGGGGAGCCGGGGGAGTAATCAGGAGGGTCAAAAGTGGAGCTAGGTCTGGGCCTAATGTAGCAGGGGCTATATAGCCAGGTCTTCAAACACAGTCCAACTCGGGGGCTTGGTCGCCTACCCCACGAGATTGAGAAGTCATAAGAGGAACAGTATTCAGCAACATGGAAATGAGAAGTAATACTTTAATTAACGAATGTGCTCCTGCACCCACCACGGAGCCACTATTAGAGAATAGGACACCCAACAAGAGACATGTTGCCTGTCTTGCCGGAGTCCCCTAAGGGTGCGTCTTGAGTATACGCCCCACAATCGCCACGTTAAGAACCGTCAATCCATCGAGATCGGGTTCAGGGACGAAAAGTGGATTGACAATAAAAGCATCCCCTCACTAGAGACGCAGAATTGTAGTACCCAACAGGTAAGAGTATGCTTCCCCCAAGCATCAAAACAGAGGAAGTTCGAAAGAATAATAATCAAGATTGGCAAAAGGTCGGCAGGAAATGACAATTAGAAAGGAAAAGAGGGGGGGGGGGGGAGAAAAATGAAACGAGGAACACAGTTCTGGCAAAATTGGTAAAGACAGCAGCAAGACCATAAGGCATCAAAAGGACAGACCCATGGAGCGTCACACCCCAGCAGCCGCCCACCAAGCCCACTCAAGACAACGGGCCAGAAAGGGGGGAGTAGTAGTATGGTTGTAGCAGTTTGGTAGTATGGTTGTTAAAATATGGGGCGTCATTTGGTACACAAGACCGATTCGACGAATCTAGTTTTCCACCTTAAAAGTTTAAAAATATATATATTGTTAGGCTAGGATGTATTCCCGTAGGTTGCATTAGTATGTTGATCCAGATTTTGCTTGATTTAGTTAAACCACAATTGATAGACAATTCCACCATATTGGATCCTTTAATTTTTGTTGTGGATAAGTTACGACATTTCAGGTGCTTTGAGTGACTAATTCCATTTAGGCCCTTTAAGTAGCAATTCAGTTTAAGAATTTTAAAGTAAACTGCAGAAACCCTATTGCTCTTGCAAGGCACCTATTTATACCCACTCTTAATAAAAGAGCAAGTTAATTCTTCAGTGTGCGACAATTAAATAGCATATGAAGTCTAAACTATTTCAGGCTTGGTTATGCTCTAAACTTTATGATGCCTTAATGCTATTCTCATACAATACTGAGTAGGCTCTAACAGGTTTGAGTACCTGTTAGAGAGAGTAGGCTCTTGCAATTATTGGTAATGTCATCTGCAGTTTATTCATTCTTACAAACATTGTTGGCAGACAAATTAAAGCATATTTAAAGCCTTTCGCAGCCTAAATGGAATGAGGATTCCATCACTTACACTAATATAGACTACCAGGTCAACGTTATAAAATTTCAAATAGGGGATATAAATTAAGGAAAATTATCAAATTTTAACAAATTAAAAATAAATATACCAACAATTTTACTGTAACAATGTAGACAGTCAGTACTTTATCAATGAGTATGTAGCAATTTAATGAAATTACCAGAAAATTTTAACCTTCACTGTGACACAGACTGCTTTGCAATATCTTGCGACCTCCGTCTTCAATCTTTCAAGAACTTTTGCTTTATTATACAACTTTTTACCTTTGCTTGTTAAAGCATTAAAATCTTCCCTTGCTGTAACACAATATACTGACCAGCCACAAATTGCAGTGCATTGATGCTATGCTTCATTTACATTAACTATCCTGCCGGAATGTCAAGATTTAAAGCCGACTAATTAATATAAAAGCTTAGGTTTAATGTTAAAAAATCTGCACATACACCAGATGTTACTAAAATAATTTAACTTTGAAACTAGGTTATAATTTAACCTAGCAACTTACTTTAATACAAGTTTCACAGAGCTGAACAGTTGAAAAACATGGCTTGCTTGTAGACGACGTTGCCGACTGTGGACCCTGATCTCGCCAAGGGAACGTCTGTCCACAACCTTTCCAACTCTGCCTTCGTCTTGTTTGCTCCGTGTTCGTCAAGAGGAACACCCATACCATAGGTAACTCCAATCACCATTAGTAGTACACTGAAAAAAATATTACCTTTTGAAAGTTACAGCTCAAACTAATCTACGCACAAGTTATTCAGTTATTATGAATCCTATTAAACCCCTGTGTACTTTAATATTTTCATATAAAACCTGTAATTATTAACATTAATTATTATTTCAGGGCAACGCCTGAGGAGTTTGATGCTCCCTGGATACTAGTCTGGGAGATATTGAAAAAGGAAAATTAGCAATTTGTGCAGACTAACTTCTGCATTTTCAGCCACATACTACCAATTATAAATGACGTAATTGCTACACAGAGTAAAGGGTTTCGAATCTCCTTGGTATGGATACCATCACACAAATATAACAAATCATAATGACATATTGCAGCCAAATTAGCATGTAACAGATGTTGAATTATACCTAGGTATCCCCATCTCTGCTGTCAAAACTATATTGTTCCAAAAACTCAGGTCTGATTGGAGAGAAATTACAGACTCCCAACGACCTGAAAGCACCAGTATAAAAACCTACGATTTGTTCAGATCCAAAGTCTGTTTATAGGCTGCACAAAACGTCCACCAGACTGACAGTGGTTACAAGGATCAGGTTAAGTTACCGTTACCTGTGGCAGGTGGCTACCTGGCGTCTCCTATGGTCCATACCGCTCAGGGTGTTACTAAAATGTTCAACCCGTGGTTGGCTAGCCGCTCCCTGCCACGTCCTTTCCGGGCGTGCAAAACGGTGCCGATTCCTAAGCCCGAAATCCCCTCACACTATTGCCCCATTACGATATCTTCCACGATAGTGCGGCCGTTTCATTAGATCGTAAAGAGCCGACTTTCTCAGGCTATCAGGATCGACGGGAGGTAGAAGGCGTTCATTCCTGTGGATGGATGAGCTGAAAACCTGGCGATCCTAGATGCTCTTCTGGCTGAGGCCCGATCGCTGAAACATCATGTGCACCTCGACCTGGAGAAGGCTTTCAACAGCGTCCCTCATGCGGCTATCGATCGGGCCATGGAGCGCAAGGAAATCACTAAGCCCTCACATTGGCATGCAGGAACATGACAAAGTTGACGCCCTTGCTAAGGCTGCAGTAAATAAAGACAGTATTGAACGGAATCTTGAGTTATCAAATAGTTCCCTTAAAAGTGTCATTAGACGAGAACTCCTGGATGGATTTGAAGTAGAACAGTGCAAACTGGAACTAGGTCCATTGTTCATCACAATGAAATGTGTGAAGTAAAACATGTGTATGGGGCAAGTAACAAAGTCAGTAGACTAACAGATGTTGTCACAGCTCGTATAAGACTTGGCTACAAGTATCTCTGGCAGTTCGGCTTGTATAGGGATCTAGATGAAGTGTAAAGTGTGTGGACAAAGACAGGGACACACACTCGAACACTATATCTTTGATTGTTGTAAAATTTAGCCTTTTAGAGATAAATCGAAGCTCACTCTGTATGATATGGCAACCTATCTTATTACACATGGATAAATTACCTGAAATCCTTGCACTGTACCCACATTTTGCTTCCAGTAGATGAACGACATATGAGATTCAGAAACAAGTAGTGTATTGTGAGGACTAATAATAAAAAGAAGCTCCCCTATGACTAATATCCCCATTGGCCAAACTATTATGTATTAGCGATAAGACCTACCATTAATGTATGATGACTTACTGTAAATATGCAGCTCTTGTAATAGCACTTTCTCTGTAACTAGCCGACATTGTATCTATAAGGTGTGAAGGATTGAAGAAATTGTTTTTGTAATAATCTAAGACGAGGTCTGATAAAGACCTTTTGTGCCCTCTGTAATGCTTTTGCGCTACCGCTCACAGGATGAGTATGGGGTGCACAATAAACTAGCCGCCTTCGGCGGCAACAATCAAATCAAACCCTAGAAATTATACTATGTCGGGCTAAGATGGCGCCTCGACAGTCATAACCAGCCAGAAGGAGAAATCTAGGGTAATCACCGTGACTAGGGAGACAAACTGAGATCCCTTGTCCGTTTATTTCCTTTTTGGCGATTGGCGAGGCAATTACCAATGCGACGAAACTGGGCCTGGGGCTTCGTCTGGGGAAGTAAAAGGTGTCAGTACTAGCGTTTGCAGATGATCTGGTCGTAGCAGCGGAGATGCCAGCCGGCCTTCAGGTATTGATGTTATTCGTGAGATGTTAAGTGGCGCTGGGTTGAGGGTCTACGCGGGAAACTACCGATCATTGACCCTACTGATTGATGGCAAATGCAAGAAATGGTATCTCGCTTCACAAACTATGTTCCATGTCGAGGCCGCACCCATGGGCTATTGGTATCACTGACGAGTGCAAGTACCTTGGTATTCTCGGTACGGTGGCAGGGGCATCTCCTATGACTCATTGTGGAGGGTATTATCACGCAGGTCACCCTCAAACGGTATGAGGTTATTAGTGTTGAAGCACCACCTTTTTCCTATACTGAACCACCGTCTTATTCTGGGCGTGGTGTACAAAACTGAGCTAGCAAGCATCGACCAGAGGATGAGGCAAGCTATCCGTAGCCGGCTCCATTCACCGCACAACAATACAATACAATAATATGCAGGATACGATGCACATTAGGGCGAGCCTTTAAGTGGGGACAACTGAAGAGAAGTCGGTGAGAGGAAACGCTGAAGTTGTAAAGTGCCAGAGCTTGACCCAACTGCGTGTCTTAAGTCGATGCTGAAACAACCACACAACTAGCTAGGCATCGAGTCGGATCAGAAAGGGCGGCAGTGGCGGTGCTGCTTCATTCTAGGTGGTGACAGGTGTCTTCTGGTGGCGTCTTTCTTGGGTCTTCTTTTTTCTGTGTCTTTCATCTATATTTCTTCGTGTTATCATTTGATGTTTATTTTTATTCTCGGCGTTGTCCTGGGGAAAAAGTTCGGTTGCCAGTATGGATTCATCGCATACCGAGAAGATTGCGTCGTTGTCCACTACGTACTTCACATTAGCTCCTAGATTACTCTACAAGTTCTTTTCATACCTCGTTATATATGCGGCTGGTGAGCCGTCTGAATTCAGGAGATCCAAATGTATTTTTGTAACGTTAATATAATTCAGTTATTGCTGGAGAATCAATCATCGTGGTATCCTCCGAGTCTGGGAGTGGTGGGTGTGCTTTAGTGTCAACAAAGGCAGTAGAGTCGTCATCAAAAGATAGGTGAAGGTATGCAGGAGTAACTGATATTTGTGCCGATGCAGGTGATGTAGTCGCCAGTATAACTGGAGTAATAGGTGGTTGGTCTGGAGTGGCAGTTTGCAGAAGTAATGTAGGAGCTGTAGCAGGTTGCAGAAGGTGGGCGTCAGCAGACAGATCTGGCAGTGCAGCTGGAGAGGATGTCAGAGGCCGTAGTAGTATTAGTAGCTGAAGACGTAGCTGTGGCAGTGCCTGAAGCACCGCCACCACCGCTGGTAGACCATAGCAGCGTATAGTATGTTTAAAATTCACGCGAATTCCTTGCAGTTCATGCCAACCATCATTTCAGCCATGCAGACGAGTTCGAAGATGGTACTATGATCGATATTGGGGGACAACAACTGATGTGGTAAAAGGCTGGCTTGTTGATTGGCCAGAAAGGTTATGCATGGAGAGTGCCCGTGTTCTAAAATGGTTGGGGCTGACAATCGGGGACCGAGATCTGTTACTGAAAGCCCTGATCTGGACGTATTCCGTCTCTCGAATGTAGTCCAAGAGCACGCGAAGGGGTTAATAATTATCACCCACTGGACATGGGTGGTCTTACCCTTGTGCCCCGAATACCCACGAAACTAGGGCCAGTGCACCCTGGCTAAGGAGCCGTACGTTATCTTGGGGTACCACTTCCCCCTCTGGCTATTCTGGAGAGGGTGGGTGGCAGACCGAACCTGTGCGAGTGTGAGATTATCCATTGAAGTGGACTGCTGGCTGTCGTGGAGGGTGAACGTGTTCATTGCTCTCTCCGGCAGTTGGTGGTTGTTTGCCAAGTTTGGCCGTTTGGGGGCGCGCGCGCGCGCGTGTGCGTGTGTGCGCGTGTGCGTGTGTGCGTGTGTGCGTGTGTGTGTGTGTGTGTGTGTGTGTGTGTGTGTGTGTGTGTGTGTGTGTGTGTGTGTGTGTGTGTGTGTGTGTGTGTGCGTGCGTGCGTGCGTGCGTGCGTGCGTGTGCGTGTGCGTGCGCGTGCGTGTGCGCGTGCGTGCGTGCGTGTGCGTGTGCGCGTGTGTGTGCGTGTGTGTGTGTGCTGACGGAGTTCACGATGGGGGGATCCCCCTCCCCCTGTACTGCGGGCTCAGTCTGTGGGCCTCGAATTTTCCGGCCGGGCTGGGTACCCAGAGAAAGCACTGGTGTGTGAGTTGCTTCATATCCCTGTGATAAACATTTATGGAGTCGAGCTGGTGATGGCACGTCGAGCGATAGTGAAGTTCACAGAGGAATTGACGTATCACGACTTTCTCTGTCAATACGAGGGGCGGACATTAACCCTGCCGGAAGGTGCGGGCACTGTCACTCTCTGATCGGAGTGGTGCCCTCACGTACGTCAGTGTGCATGGGGTTCCATTAGAGTTTCCGGAGGGTCTGCTACAGCGGTACTTCGGCCGGTTTGGCGCAGTGGTTAGTGTGCGGGGGAACGTGGAGTCTTCCAGTCCACTTAAGGGTGAGGACTAACATTCGCACCCTGGGGATGAGGCTCCGGGAAGATATTCCGTCCTCTGTGCGTCTAATGGGTTACAACGTTCGGGTGTTTTACGCCTGCCAACCTCGGACGTGCTATCGTTGTGGCCTCTTGGGCCATCAGGCTGCTGACTGTTCTGCGCCTTCCGTTGCACCCGTGACCCTCTTTAGTGAGGAGGATTTTCCGCTGCTTCCTGTGGAGGAGGATTCGGTGGATGTGGACGTCTCTTCAGCCGCGGATGTGCCCCCTGTGTCGCCTGTTGCACCGCCTGGTGCGCCCCCTGTTGTCGTCTCTCCTCCAG